TTTGTATTATTATAATTTTGTGTAATTTTTGATAGTGTATTATACCAATTCCATGTACCAGTAGCAGTAAAATGTCTATATATATTATTTTTAAGACTCTGGATCACGCGTTCCGCGATTGCACATTTAATAACACTGTATGAACTGTAATGTTTAATTTTGTATTTTTTCAATAAATCTTGAAATTTAGAATTGTAAAATTCTGTACCATTATCTGTCTGTAATAATTTCGGATGAGCTTTTTTCAATATATTAAACATACCTTTTGTACATTTTTCCGTGTGTTACATATTACATTTTGTTTCACATGTGTACTCAATGGTTCAATTATCGGCTTAAATGCTTCACGGAAATAGTTTTCAGAATCTATAACACCACGTTTCATTTCCATTATTTTTCGTTGTATATTTTTTTTTGATGTTATTAAATTTTCCAACAAGACTTTTTCTTTGTTCATTGTTAATAATAAATGTAATATACCTGTATCGTATGACTACTGATAACACTATGCGGATAATAACTGTGTGATGGTATATTTATATATAAGTATAAGCACATAAAATTATTTTATTTTAATGAATGTATGAAAACCACATCTATACCTTCCTTCATTCATTTCTCGAGTTTTATCTATGACCAGAAACCCGTAATCGCTGTAATTCCAACATAAATGGGAAATTTTCCGGAATTCTGAGAAATCCATATCTGTAGACGAATGATCGTTGAATATATGTCGTAAATTTGTATCATCTTGTTTCAGTATCATTAAAAAGTTTGAGTTATCTCTTATTAGCTGTTTTGGTATTTTAGAATATGTCTGTGCCAAATAAAATACAGAGCTGGCACCTGAATGTCTACCCATGCTAAAGTATTCTCTGATTACGGATTGTGGACCGCATATCACATCATCAAAAATTATAATAGAATTTTTCTTGGTTAAGTTTGGTTTTATAACCTTATCAGCGCTTGTAAATAAGAAAAAATTAGCACCTTGTATACCATCTATTATTTTTTTCAGTAAAACATATTTTTCCTGATTAGAGGTTTTCGAGTATAAATAAATATTTTCAAATCTTAACCCGTTTGCATGTGTGATCAGATTATACATTATATTTGTTTTTCCTGAGCCGCTGGGACCAACTAGTATAGCACGTATAGTATCGGGTAATAACGAACCGTGTCTTGATGGTTTTCTTACTACCTGAACATCTACATTATAACATCCAATTTATCTTTCTGTTCTATCAAATCCATATTATTTTCTTATAAATACTCTAGAATTCTCTAATTTATAATCAGTTATCGATGACGCGTTCAACTCACAAGTGTAAGTCAGTCAAGACTAGTAAAGGATTTGTAAACTCCCTTATAAATAGTCTCCCGTTCGAAGCCCATGTTTCAGGATATCAGTATTGTGGTCCTGGCACGAAATTAAAAAAGAGACTAGATCGAGGCGATAAAGGAATAAACCCATTGGATGCTGCTTGTCGTGATCACGATATTGTGTATGCAACGAGCAAAAATTTAGACGATAGACATAAAGCTGATCAAGTGTTAGAAAATTGTGCTTGGGAAAGATTTAAAGCAAAAGATACACCTAGAAAAGAGAAATTAGTGGCGTATGCAGTAACAAACGCGATGAAAGCTAAAAGAAAAATAGGTATGGGTTGTAAACGGAAACGTGCTATAAAAACAAATGGTATACAAGCAGCGAAGAAAAAAAGAATCTCAAAGAAAAAGAATGGTGGTAAAAGGCTGATTTTAGCACCGAGGCAGTCAGGAGGTGTAATTCCCTTAATACCTATATTTGCAGGATTGTCAGCACTTGGTAGTTTGATGTCTGGAGGTGCTAGTGTGTATAATGCTGTTCAAAATTCAAAAAGAAAAAAAGGTAGTGGTGAAATCAAACAAGAATAGGTTAAAAAAAACTGATGATTACCCTACCTGACAGACCGCTTTCGTCTCAAGATATTATAAAATATGCCGGAAAGTTGAAAATCAATCATTTCCGTGGAGTCTTTTCACGTGATAACTTACCTAAAAAACCGCACGCTATTGAATGTGGTATATTAAACTTGGATATATCTTCAGGCGATGGAAGCCATTGGGTAGCGTTTTATAAAAATAAGGACAAAGTTGTATATTTTGATAGCTTTGGTGATTTACCTCCACCAATTGAATTACAACATTCAGACAGTTCAAAATAGTATATAACTATTCCGACTATCAAGACTTCAATACATTTAAATGTGGTAATTTATGTCTTGAATTTTTACAATGCATGAATCTATTACATTAAGTTTGACTGGAAATTCGACTGTATTATCTGTAAATTATTTTCCGCCTATAAACCTTTACGATGACTCAGAAATAGCTTTGTTATGTTTACAGTCATTTAATTCATTCCCAAATATTAATGAAAATAATAATAAATTTTCTATACAAGTAGTTGATAATGAAAACAATAATGATCCTATGATATGTTTTATTACATTGGAAGAAGGTTGTTATGAAATTGAAGATATTAAGGATCGAGTTAAGAGGCAAATAGTTGCCTATAATAGTAAAAACTTAACCAATTTAACATTCGACATTACGGTTGATCCTGATGATTTCAGATCGTATATAAAATGTAATGGAATACTACACTTTGAATATCCATATAGTATAGCATCTGTATTCGGTTTTGAAAAACGAGTATATAATCCATAAAACATTCTTCGATCGGAAAAAGCTGTAAATTTAAACACAATTAATTCTATAAAAGTAATGTGTAATATAGCTCAAGGATCATTCAGCAACCATCTTCAGAGTCATTCGATTAATGAGTTTTTCCCGAGTGGAAAGACAGGGTCGAAAGTAATTCAGGCACCGCCAAATTTAATATATTACAAATTGAATAAAACAAATATTGATTCGATAACCGTTCAGTTAGTTGATCAAGATCATAATCCGATTGATAATTTTGGTGAAGCATTGACAATCGTGTTACATATTAAACGTTACGGCTCTTGAGATGGGATTAAAATTCAATATAAACCCACTACTTCAGATCAGTACAACTAGTCATAAGACTAAAGTGCTAGCAGTAACATCAAATAAAATAAAAAAATTGACGGTGAAGAATAAAAAAATTTTACAAGCTCTGGGTTATCAATTAAAGTAGAATGCCTGAAAGTGATATTTTGGATATAACTTCACAGTACGAGACGGATTCTAAAATTACGAAAATTGAATATCATTCATACGCACCGTATACAACATCATTTAATAATAATGATGAAATACGTATATCAATCCAGCAAACGGATGTTTATCCATATCTACACGAAAGCTTTATTTTTTTAGGAGGAACAATAACTGATGCTACCAAAGTGAAACTATCTAATAACGGTTACTCTTACCTCTTCGAACAAATACGATTGGAAATCAATGGGATAGAAGTAGATAGCACACGTGTTCTTGGAATCACTAGCTCGTTGAAAGGTTACTTATCCGGTACGCCAGATAAATACAATTGTTATGAAAATGCTGGTTGGAATTTTAAAAACGCAACGCAATCGGAAAATGATAAAGGTGAATTTAGTGCTTGCATACCATTGAAATATTGGTTAGGATTGTTTGAAGACTATAAAAGAATATTAGTGAATTCTAGATTGGAATTAATATTAACCCGAAGTCATAGTGATTTAAATGCTTTACAAGTTAAAAGTGGTTCGACTGTCACTGAAGGTAAAGTCACCTTAAATAAAATAGTCTGGAAGGTCCCACATATAACGATTGACGACGAGGAAAGGTTAAAATTATTGAAACTTATAGAAAAAGAAAAAAGTCTATTTATCCCTTTTAGATCTTTTGAAACTTTTGAACATCCTGAACTCGGAACCACTAAAAAAGTTGTATGGAATTTGAAAACTGCTTCAAAATTAGAAAAACCACGATTTATCATAATTGGTTTACAAAAATCACGTAAGAATTTGCTAACAAACGATTGTAGTATATTTGACCATTGTAATTTAACAAACGTTAAAGTATTTCTGAACTCTATAGCTTATCCATACGATAATTTGAATTTAGATTTTACTAAAAATAATTTCACCTTATTATATAATATGTATACATCGTTTCAAGAATCGTACTATGAAAAAAGTATTCGTAATCCGATATTGAGTCCTTCTACTTTTCTGACAAACGCTCCAATTATAGTTATCGATACTTCGGAACAGAACGATTCAGCCACAGCCTCAGCAGTGGATGTTCAATTGGAAATTGAAGCTTCAGATTCGCTTACAGGTGTAACTGCTTATTGTTTATTAATTCATGATCGTATTGTAGAATATATACCTTTTACTAGAGAAGTAAGAAAACTTGTATAAATAATTGTTTAGAATTAATATATAATTGTATTTGTAAATAAAATAATATTTAATAAATAATATATATTTTATCAAATTGTTGTGTTACATGGTGAAGCATGTAGAAATCTCCCTGTAAAAAAGGTGCTCAGAACGCACATTAGGTGTTTTTGAGATTATGTGTTACACGGTGGAGCATGTAGAAATGCCCCGCTTGAAATGATGAAATCTCCCTGTAAAAAAGGTGCTCAGAACATACATTAGGGTTTTTGAGATTATGTGTTACACGGTGGAGCATGTAGAAATGCCCCCTTGAAATGATGAAATCTCCCTGTAAAAAAGGTGCTCAGAACATACAAATATATACTACTGAAATTATATTACCAAAAAGATCTTATGTAACTAATAGTATTCGTACTTGTAATTATAAATATTGTATGTCTGTGAACAACACAAAGAAAACAGTTTGCAGAAGATTTCTGTTAAATACTTTAGATATATCTGAATAAGTCCTTAGGTATACCCGTGATAATAAAGTTGATTTACATACCTCTAAACCTGATAGCAGAGGTAATATAGGTAGTAGAACTCCAACAAATAAGACACCACATGAAAAAATGAAGAGTTCTTGAAGAGTTTATTAATATGTTACCAGCTGTTCCATCACACTATTGTAGAAGTTCTACTAGTAAACAATATATTAGCAGTGATTTTAATAGTTTAAATCATGTATATAGGTTTTATGTTGAGCACTGTAATATGAAAAATATATCTCCAGTTTCTAATGCAGTATTCAAAAATAAGTGGAATACAGAATACAATATTTGTATACATGCCCCAAAGAAGGATAAATGTGCATTTTGTGAAGGTTACAAAAATAAGGACACTAAGACAGATGAAGATACACTACACTACGTCCTAAGAGTAGATCTTGGATCGCACGTTTCTTCACGAATGTGGCTGTTAAAGGTACCCTCCCTAAAATATGGCGTGAAGCAAAAGTTGTAGCCATTCTGAAGCCTAATAAAACAGGAGATGATCCGAAAAACTATAGACCAATATCGTTGCTCTCAGTAGTCTACAAACTATTTGAGAGACTTATATTAGGGCGAATCGCACCACTACTAGAAGGTACACTTCCTAAAGAACAAGCTGGTTTCAGAAGCGGAAGAAACTGCTGCGAACAAGTGCTGGCCCTAACAACGCATGTAGAAAATTGATTTCAAAATAAGCTGAAGTCCAGGGCAGTGTTCCTAGATCTTTCGGCAGCTTACGACACCGTCTGAAAAAGAGGGCTTCAACTCAAATTGGCAAAGATCCTTAAATGAAAAACCACATTACACCTATTGGAGCAGACACTGTCCAACAGAAACTTTAAAGTCTATCTTAATGGTGAAGTAAGCCGAAGAAAGATTGTACAAAATGGGCTTCCACAAGGATCAGTTCTCTTACCTACACTGTTTAACGTATACACCGCCGACATACCGGAAACAAAATCAAGGAAATTCATGTACGCGGACGATATAGGCCTAGTAGCCCAGGGTAACTCATTTGAACAACTAGAAGACACCTTGAACGAGGACTTAAAATCTTACAAAACTATTTTCTACAGTGGTATCTCACCCTAAATGCAAACAAAATAACAGCTGTGACTTTCCACCTAAGTAACCGCGAAGCGAAAAGAGAACTCCAGCTAAAAATTGGTGATACCAACATTTCCAATGAAGAGTGCCCTAAGTACCTAGGCGTCAAACTTGACAGGACACTAACTTTTAAACAACACCTTGATTCAACAAAAAATAAATTAAAATCGCGAAATAATATCATCGGTAAATTAGCTGGGACTAGTTGGGGCTGTAACGCAAGTACGTTGAGAACTTCGGCACTATCTTTAGTGTTTAGCGGTGCTGAGTACTGCACGCCCGTATGGATGAGAAGCGCTCATTGCAAAAAAATTGACGTCCAACTAAATGTAGCCATGAGAACAATTACAGGGACAGTTAGAAGTACTCAAACCCAATGGCTACCTGTTCTCGCACACATCGACCCCCCAGAAGTTAGGAGACAAAGAGCTTCCCAAAGTATCATCAATAAAATTAAAAGGAATGATGACCTGCCAATCTACAACGACCTAGTAATCACCCAAATAAACGGCTTAAATCCAGACACCCTATTTGGGAAGAAGCAACGACCGACGCTGATCCACAGGTTGAATAGAAAAGGACATGGCTAGAATCTAACATACGAAACTCGTCTCTGATCAAAGATCCAACAGCAAAAACACCCGGTTTTAATTTACCGCGTACCTTGTGGACCACCTTAAACCGCATTAGAACCGAACAAGGAAAATGTAATTACCTACTACATAAATGGGGTATGGTGGAATCACCTTTATGACGTGGCTGTGGGCAGATACAAACTATCAGGCACATAGTAAATGAATGCCCAATAACAAAATATACGGGAAGTTTTGAGGAAATCCACTCAGCCAGCGATGATGCAATCAAGTGGATGGAAAATTTAGATGTGCGCCTGTGATCTAGTTCAAGCCTAATCGGAAAGAGGAAAGTGCCATACATTACCAATTTTGTTACCAAATTTATTTTTTATCCTGTTGTAATCTCTCATTTTAAATTTATTTTAGTATTTTATTTTTCATGTTAGCCTCAGTTTTAGTTCACTAGTTTATTAGCCCTTATTACCTATTGTTAAATTATGTCTTTAGTCTTTACTATTTATGCCGGAGCCATATGCTAATAATAAAATACAAAGATCTAAGAAATTTGTGCTTAAAAAAAATTATACCTAAAGTTTATCATTCAAAATACCTCTCTATTCCTTTCAAGCCATCTGTGTTAGATGTTTTGCCTGAGACTGATGATGAAGATGAAATTGACTAGTCAACATTATTATTTTGTTTATGTTATACTATTATATTGTTTTTTATATTTTTATGTGAACTTATTTTTTATTAAAACTTTTAAATTCATGTTAAATGACAAGAAGTCATTGTTTTTTTTATTTTATTCAAGTTACTATTAATTAATATTATTCTATTATTTTAAAATATTAATTTATGTTGAACCAATATAGAAGTCATTATTTTTATTTCAAATAAAGTACCAACTAATTTCATTAAAATGTATACATGTTTGAAAGGACTTATACCACTATTATTATATGTTTGTAACGATGCAGAATTGCCATTATATTTAATTAAAACAAAATATGTGTCGCCCTCTATGTATGCGTCGACGCGCGAACGAAAACTATGACGCGCGCCGCCGTCCCGACGTGAGTACCGACTCATCTCATAAGCTTTTTACTTTAACAACGTATTTGAGTGCGGTGAATAATGCAAATCAACGCTGAACAACGCCTTCAACACAACCAACATGCCACGAAGTCTCAAAGAAGTATATATGAAGAAAAAACACAACTTAAACGAAGAAAATAAGTAACGCAATGACGCCGCACAGAGTGCGCGCCGTCACACATGTTTTCCAACCGTCGACAATTCATACGACTTTACGGAAAACAGCCACAAAAGTCCGTAAAACCATGGTGACCATCGTCTTCCCCAGAAGATTTCCCACCAGATAAACATAGCCGCCCACGGGGTAGAAGGTCTGTAACCTATATAAACTTGCTGTAATCTTGCTGTAATTTTTAACTAACAATGCATCTGTCCACTTGCAGGTAATTTTTTTAACCTATTATGCAGGGTGATTTTTTAAACATCCCCATTTTTTCCTTTAATAATACATTATTTATTTAAATTTTGATTTTTAGAATTTTTAAAAACACTTGAAACCTATATTTTTGGTACCATTTAAGGATGATCCTGCGACAATACAAACTTCTGTTTTTAAATGGGAAGCCCCCTTTTTTGAAAATGTGAAGTAATTACGCTTAGTCCATCAATACAAATAATTTGTGAAAATTATCAAGTGTAATAAATAGGTACCAAATTTGAAATCACATATAATTTATATTTTTGTAAAACCATATTTAAGGATTATTATCCTCAGTATAAACATTTTAATAATTCAGACACTACTTATTAGAATTTTGATTTAGATACATCAACATTTTCAAGAAAATCACACACTAAATAATTACTAATAAAAAAGAAGTGTTCTCTTTTGAAAAAGAGAAGTTTGTATCGCTACAGGATTCCTTAAGTGGTACAAAAAATATCAGGAATTTGAAAATATGCTATTTAGTATTTAGGTATAGTTAAAAATTATAAAACTCAGAATTTGAATAAATGTATTATCAAAGGAAAAAATGGGGATGAGCACGTTTAAAAAATCACCTTCCAACCTCTAACCAGTGTTGTAAAGTATTTGAGTAAATATATTCAAATATATTATATTATATTAATATATTTATAGTTTTATAGTTTTGGTTTTTAATTTTTAATTATTTTGGTTTTTATTATTTTATTTGGTCTATTGGTTCTGAATCATTACGTACTTTAGTTGAGCTTAATTTGAAGGGTAAAAAGCTTCCATATACACCAGAAATGAGGAAACTTGCCATAACTTTGCAGTTTTACTCAAATAAAGCATATAATTTTGTTAGAAAGAGTTTCAAAAATGTACTTCCACATCCCAAAACCATAAGTAAATGGTATAAAGTTGTGAATGGAGACCCAGGTTTTACTCAAGAAGCATTCCAATGCATACATGAGAAAGCCAAGAATGAAACTGTTATTTGCAACATCGTTTTAGATGAGATGAGCATAAGAGAAAAAATTGAATGGGATGGAACAAAAATGCATGGCTTTGTTGATATGGGTACTAATATTGATACAGTGAATGACAACTCGGTTCATGCCAAAAATGCACTCGTTTTTATGGCTGTAGGAGTTAATGGACATTGGAAAATGCCAATAGGCTATTTTCTTGTAGCGGGCCTAAATGGAAATGAAAGAAGTAATTTATTAAAACAGTGTTTAGTTCTCATGGGTGATACGGGTGCCAAAGTGCATTCAATCACTTTTGATGGAGCTTACAGTAATGGTAAGATGTGTTCAAATTTGGGTGCTTCATTTGATATAAATGACGAATTAAGTTTTAGCTTTAAAAATCCCTATAATAACGAGCCCGTATATGTTTTTTATGATGCTTGCCATATGATAAAGTTAATTAGAAACCTTTTAGGAGATTTGGGGTATCTATTTAATCAAGAAGGAAAAAAAATAAGTTGGAACCATATTAAAATGTTGTACTTCAAAGAAAAGAATGAAGGATTAAAAGCAGCAACAAAATTGACCAATAAACACATATACTATTATAATGAGAAAATGAATGTCAAGTTAGCAACACAAGTGTTGAGTAATAGTGTTGGAAATGGTCTAAAATTTTGCAAGTCTTTAGGATGTGATGATTTTAAAGATATTGATGCTACAGCAGAGTTTTGTTTCCTAATGAATGATGCATTTGATATACTCAATTGTAGAAGTAAATATTCTAAAAATCCTTACTGCCTGGCGCTTGATGAAAAACAATTTGAAAAGTATGAAAATTTTAGCAAGAACTTTTATAATTATGTATTAGGCTTAAGGTTGCCCAACGGTAAAACTGTGGTAGAATGTGGTAGAAAAACTGGCTTTGTTGGGCTTATAAAAGCATTACAAAATGTATTAAAGTTATATACTTAACTTATTTTTTGATAAAATTATCAATTTTAATTAGGCGATGAGCTGCAACGCGCTTTTCTGCAGCCAAGTCTCGCAAACGTTTAAGGAGAAGTAATTGTGCTGTACAACATTCGGCCTGTTTTTCAAACCACTCAAGACCAGTTTCAAATGCAGCAAATGCTTCAGCAGATGTTGGTCCTTTTGGCGTACTCATACTTTCATCACTACTGCTGTCGTCACTTTCTTCATTTATCATGACAATAGTTATGATAAATTCGATAAACCGGCCGACCGGCCGGATACGAATTTTCATGTTCGGATAACAGAACGTTCGGATACGCTAATTATAGTTCGGATAATAGTGGGTTCGTATAACGGAGGTTCGGATAATCGAGGTTCTACTGTACTTGTTTGAAAAAAAAATATTCTCTTGCTTACTTATTGTCTTTTAAATTATCTCAAGACCATATAGAGACATTTTTTAGTTCAGTAAGACAAAGAGGTGGGTTTAACAACAACCCTTCTTGTAAAGAATTTAAATCAGCTTATAAAAAACTATTAGTCCATAGTGAAATTAGTGGTTCACAGTATGGCAATTGTGTTGCAATACTTGATAGCACCAAAATGTCTGTGGTAAATGTAGGTCTAGATTGTATCATAAATAATGATATTGAAGAGGATTTAAATACAGTTGAACAAGATCATGATTACATACAATCTTTAAATAGACTGACACCATTTTTAGAAGGAGTTACAAGTTATATTGCTGGTTTTGTGGTAAAAAAAAATAAAAAACAAAATAACCCGTGATATATGTCACCCATTTTTGATTGATAGCTCAAATCACAATTTTAAATTAATAAACCAAAAAGATCGAAACAACGCTTTGATAAAACCTAGTCATGATGTTGTGGAGATATGTAATGAAGCAGAAAGAACTTTTCGATCTTTTAATGTTTTTTTACCAAATATTAAGCACAAAATGTTTAATAAAATAAAAAATAAAATATACCAGAAACGAAATATTTTTAAAGAATTAAATGACCATTGTATAGGCCAACAATTATTTAATTCACACAGAGATCAAATAATAAGTATGGCTATTCTCACATACTTAAACATTCGTTTTCACCATGCTGCTGCGACAACAGAAAAAAAAAACATTTCTATGAGGAAAAAATTTACCAAAATTGTTTTATTTCGGAATGAGTAGCGAAAAAAAGTGTACAATTAAATACATGTTATAAATACTTAATTAAATAAATCAAATATTTATATGGCTAATGGCTATACAATTAACATGTATTATTATATTTTAGTCTAGCTACACCTACACCTCTTAAAATTATCACTTGATCTAGACTGCAGACAAATATATATTATGTCTAGACTATGTTTTATAACAATTCATTAGTTTTGTCTATTATTAATATCTCATATTTTTTTATATACAATATACATAGGTATAAAAATTTGATTTATTGTGTTAAAAATATTAAAAATACCTGTTTAAAAGTAAAGACAAAAAAAATATTCAATTTCTACGAAAAAAGTTGGAAATATGCATAAATATGTGCAAAAAACCTTTAAAAAATTTATCCAGACACCATGAAAAAAATTTGTAATATAATAATATAATATTAATAATAATAAAATTTGATTTATTCTATTTGCTTTCCGAAGTTCTGAATAAATATTTAATATGCAAATGCATAGATTCCTGAGCCCTAATAATTAATAATATTGCCATTAGATTATAATTACTACAGTAGTTATTTACTATTGTATCAGAGCAATAATTATTTAGCATTATAATATTATTATAGTATTACGCTATTATATTTATTAAGTCTTATAATATTATGTGGTAAGTGTTAATAACAATGTTTTTGGTCGCAAGGAATGGTATCACTGCCAGTGGCGTCATTTGGGGGAGGGCAACTAGGGCATTTGCCCCAGTCTAGTATTTACATCAACCTTAAGTCGGCACATTTACCACACGCCCCCCCCCCCGTTTACCACTATGGCACTATGCTATGAGAATCTGAGTGAAAAAAATGAGTCGGGAAAGCAGTGAATTGTCCTAGTCTAATAAAAACTAAAATGACACCACTATGAACAAAAAATGAGCAGGCTAAATGACTGCTGGCACGATAGGAATGACCGCACCACCAACCCGCATCCCACCTGGATGCTCCGTCTATGAGTATAAGGTCTATGGATTCCGTACGCCGCGTGTTGCTGTTTTCGCCGCTAATCACGAGCGCCACTATCGCACCTTTTAACAGTGTGTAGTGCTGTTGCCGCAGCCGCCACAACAAGCGCGCCGCCGCAATACTATCAATTCATTACCGTATCACAGTTGATGTTGTCGTCGTCGCGACGTATCGCAGACGTATTGACGGTTCGGACGTACGACAACAAACGCTTAATGTTGTGTTGATAAATAACACAATACCACCGACAACGTTGGAGCCAATTTTACAAGGAGAGTCCAGTACCTGTGCCCCGAGGACGAGTCATAGCCACCGCCCGGTATCACTTTTTCGCTATTGTAGTCCAGCTCCACCAAGAGAGTCGGCATTGGACACAATACAACTTTATTTTTTCTCTCACTTACACGGTCCTCGTAAGTCTTTAATATTTGTATTTATCATTACACATTTAAAAAACATATCTGTGGCTCAACGAGCGTATGTATTTTAAAAGAAAACACTGTTAAGCAAGATTGAATAAGTTAAACATTTTGAATTAAAATAAAAATATCTGTAGCTCAACCGAGCACATGTAAAACGAAAAGAATATATTGTAAACAATTAAATAAAAATAATAATTCTTTTCAAAACTTAAGAATAAAGAAACACCATATATTAAACAAAAAACAACCTGTGTTTTGCATTCTTACATGTTCTTAGAAGGGCATTTATAAAATTAAAATTGTTAAAAGGGCCAACACCACAAACATTTTTTTAAAAATAAGATCACATTAAATATAAATTTAGTTTAAGCAATTTAATTAGCAATTTTAGTTCCACAGAGTCTCGTGTTTAATATAATGTATAAATAAATATTCTATCTTAAAAATTGAGTATTTAATCAGTTTTATTTGATTCCTGAAAAAAGGTAAAATTTGGTATACGCCCTTTTAACAAAATATTTATTTACAAATATTATTTTTTGGTTTATATTCTCATCAACATTTTCATCAGAAACATAACCAGAAATGTATTCAAAACTCATAGTATCCAATATTTAATTGGATAAAATTACCTAAAAATTAACAAAATAACCTATTAATTTATTGTACAAACATAATAGTATAAAATGTTATTCTTATGGAACCTATTGAACTGATCAAACCAATAATGGTTATGTTATTGAAACAACTTAAATAAATAAACTTATAATATGCATGTTATAAACTAATGGTTCATGACAAAAGATATATTGTATGTTATAAAAACAGTATGGAAAAACTACTGTTGATTTAATTTAGTTATACAATTTTATATGATTCATAATAAAAATATCTACTTGTAACTTTTATAATCATTTTTCATTAATTTAGTTGAATTTGAATTATGTAAGTTGAAAAAATAACATTAATTATTTATTTTCAATTGTTTTAAGAAATTATAATTTAATACTACTTAATAACATTCTGTATATTTTATTATACATATAGGTAAAAGTATATACTTACATTTTTAGAAGATTGGTCCACTTCAAAAATGTCTGGTGTAAGTAATGAATTATCTGGCCATGCTGTAACTTTGTCCTAGAATATTAAATTGTCAATATTATTAATGAAAAATAATTTTAAATGGTATTATTTATTTTATCAAACATTAAACATTAATACCTTTGAATATAAACAAAAAAATTATAAAATTCACAATATAAACTAAATACTGTAATTATTTCAATTTAATTTAATCTATTGTGTCCATAGAAGAAATATAATAATACTAACCAGGGCTGGATTAAGGCCCAATGCCGCCATGGAGCAAACATTTTTTGCCGCTCCTCCAGCCACCCCCCCCCCTTCCACCACCACCAAAAAAACCATAAAAAAACATGAAGTAATATGTAAGTATTTATTTATTTATTATCTAAGTATTTATATCAAAATATTTTACATTTCATATTTATGAAATTTTTGTTTTGATACGGATACATTTTTTGAAGAGCTGGTAATAAGTTCTAAGTTAGGAGACGGAATTTCATTGTTTTTTGTTCATCAAAATTATTAGTTTCAGCTAATGAATCAATAATAGATAGACTACTAGAATTAAGTTCGTTATTGTTGAGTTTTTCTACAACTTCGTCGTTTTGAACACTTGAATATGAATCCTATAACCAAAGAATAAAACTGTGACGTCGAACAACAAAATTGAATTCAATAAAACCAAAATTAAACAAAAAATATTCAATTGTATCACAAAATATATCATTACTATTGTCGTATATTGTAGACAGTCGTCAAAATATTATTTCATATATGTAATAGAGGTGGGAACATTTTAAATTGTAAACTATTGACATAGGTCAGTGAAGCATATGTGCTGAGACAGCGATAAGATTACTATATAACACCGCCGCACGCGCAGGCACGAGGGGAGTCCCGTTGTCGCTGAAAAAAAATGTCGCTGTGTGAAACGTCGATCGTAGTACGGGCTAGACGATTTGAATTTGCTAAGTGTTTCATTTATGTTTGTTTTAATATAATAAAAGTGTTTCCGACCTAAAAACCCGAGTTGAGTTTTATTTCAAAGTCTTCTTCGTTCTTACCTTTAATATTGGAACAGTGCTCAGACCCACACACCTATAGTCAATGAGGTTTATTACAAACTGAACAGTGCTCTGGTTGTGGCGTCCTAATAGTCATTCCAATTTAGGAAACGAACGAAGAACTGACAAAACGCTACCATCGTACCTCAAAGGTTAACAGTGCTAATCTGAATTTATTCTAGAGACAGTGTAATGGGATTACGCAATTCATGTACAACGCTCACAATAACAAGTAATACTTATGTAGAAAGCGGCCTCGTCGACCGCACCCAAAAGTGGTCATAGCTAGAATACACGCTTCGGATCACAACAACTTCCCAAGGGCGCCTACATGCCACGCGCCGCTCAATTCAAAGGGCGTCGCCTTCGTATATTCGTATATATAGAGGCTAGGGCCTCAATACAAATTAGATGTATCCAGAGACGAGAACAACACACGACTCGCTTAGCCGCCCAGCCATCACACACAACTTACACGGAGATTATCAACTACTACAACAAGTCAACTCACGGCGCTGCAAT